ACAACTGATAATTTAATGTAAAAGAAATATTTGTCTGTAACAACTTTGTTTTGATTTTATTTTCAAAACATTATTAATTACCCCAAGAGAGCAAAGATACTGCAGATATTACTGACTGACTGACTGAAGTTAGTCACTTTTGTTTGATTTTATTTAATTCCTTTAATCAAAGATTTTATAAAAAGTGTCTAAAACATTATTCAGAACATATATGCTGTGAAACAAAGTTTTACCTATTACAATGAGATTTAAGGAAGTTAAAAAAAGATATGGAAACAATTTTTGTCTTCGCCATTTTCATTGCTGCTTTTATTTGACATTTTTGTTTTTTAATTTTGCTTTTTAAAATCATGATTTTGTTAATTATTTTTTTATTTTCACATCTGTACACCTTTCTTGTAATCAATGTACCTGAAAAAAGTACGACAATCAGGTATGCATATAGAGATCAAATTAAACAATGACGGCATAGATCAAATTGTATTGGATTCTCCTTTTTTAATGAATGATTTTGAATTTCAACTTGTGCCTTATGATAAAATAATAAATAATTGATATAATATATATTATGCAATATGCTATTAGAATGCTTTTGTAGCTGGCGCAGTGCTGCAGTGTACACAGTGCAAAAATGTAGCATTTCCACTGCATGGCTTGCGGCTCAGTGAAAACAAAAGGAGGATGGCCAAATCGTACCAGACAACGAAATTACAGCGTCCCAATATGAAATATTTATGTAAAATACCTTATTGTTAAGGTATAACTCTCTAAGTAGCCACAAAAAAAAGTTATTAATTTATTTCTATTGTTGTAACTGTTCAAAATTATTTCAAATAATAGTTTCAGAAAGCACCTAATGACGATTCATTTCATGTGTGAAAGGACTTGGTATTCAAAGACTATAATTATTCACGTTTTTATGAATAGTTGTTAATTTTAATTCAATTCAATTAGTATGTAGACATCAAATCAACTACTATGCTGATTTATTATGTACTGGATTAATATCAATCATTATTAATCAGTTCCACGTCATTGACCATCTTATGTACCATGTTTTTAAGCAAATATATTTTCTATTCTAAGAATATGTATTTTTATAGAATAAAGGTGACAAAGGAGCACACATTCCAATAGCAAAGTGCAATCGGCAAGTGCATGCTGAAGCTCATAGACACCTAAATTAATAATATAATATATAAAGAACCAAAATGCAGACACCGCTTGTCACCCCTACCCCATGAAATTCCTTGTTTCCAGTAAAAAGGGTCTGATTCTCTACGCTCACAGTAAGAAACAGAGCATCATTAAGCTGCTATTTTGCGCTGTTAGTCTGTGAGAGCGTAATCCTTCCCCATTCGAGCTGACTCATTCGTGTTACAACCATAACATAGTTGAAGCTTGGCACGTAATAAGCTATAATAGAATATAAGATATAATGAGTTCATATCGATACCTTTTCCGAAAAATTGGGTTAGTTTTACAGGAACATTACAGTGATGTATTTGATATTTAAGTCTAATTGAATAGTTTAATTAACTTAGACAGTTTCATGTATTTTTTACTTAAGCTGTGCATAACTGCTTAAATGCAACTGAATGTCTGTGGAAATTGTTTTCGCTAATTTAAAACTCACATTTAATTGTACACACATCATGTATTTTACTAAAAAGCTGTATGTTTTCCTTATATAAATAACTGAGTAATAATGTCCTCCAGACCGAATTTCGGCCACGGCAGCCTGCCTCAACGGAGGCTAGCCATCGGCGCAGGACAGGATTATAGTGCCCAAGTGTATGCGCAAGCACAGGTGCACTCACTATTCCCTCACTTTCATAATCCGATGGGATGGTAAACTGACAAGACCGGAGAGAGATCAGGCGCAGGACCAACGGCTTTACGTGCTTTCCGAGGCATGGGGTGAGGCACCGCCAACTTCCTGGCTCCGGGCAATTACTGAGAATTTCTCGACGGAAAACTCAATAATTAATTTTTTGGTCTGACCCGGGATTCGAACCCAGGATCTCATGATCAGCAGTCGCACTACTACAACCACTAGACCAACGAGGCAGTCTGAACTGAGTAATTAATTAGTTAAATAATTAATCAACCATAATTTTAATATCAAAAATTTAAAATTAACAAGTAATCATCAGGTTACGTTATTTATAGGATTATTGAAAATACCAGGATTCAATTAATTTGAGAAACATCCACTTTAATTTAATTTAACATTCAACATGTTGAGCAGGAGTGCCGGTGGCACACAAACACTGACGTGAACCGAGGACGTTGTCATGAGGTTGGGATGAACATGGAGAAACTATAAGGTTTCCTTGTTGTGTGTAAATATGGAACCCTAAAAATCTAAAATATTATTAATTTACTATCTAGGGCTTTATAACCATTTACTACCAGGTGGAGTTGTAGTAGTTGTTGTCAAGTTATACACTGACATACCATTGTCTTTAATTTAAAAGTGAATAAGCTTTTTTTTTTCTTATTTTATTTAGGGGTTTTTGTTAGTTAACATGTCAATCCTATTAAAATCTATATGTTGCTATTAATCTGCACATACTCAATGCAATATCCAAGGTGGGGGCATGTAGGATGCCCTGCGTAATACCTATATTGTCCACATTTATCTTATATGTCCTTCCAAATAATTCCCTTTCCCCTAGTTGCCATTCACAATCCATCAAAAAGTGATGTAAGTTTTCTATTACTCCACAAGTTTCACATTAGATGGAATCAGTTCTTTTCATCAAATAAGAAATCTTTTTCATGGAATGTGACCTGTTCTTATTCTAAATATTAATTTAATAGCATTTCTTTTTAATTTTGTATCTACAAACCAAGGTATTCGAGGTGGTTCACTCTGTATTGTTTTGTACCAAACACCTTTCGTTTTAGAGCGTTCATTGAAAAATTCTTTCAATTTGTTATGACATTAATTTTTGAATTTTGGTAGTACTTCTGAGTAGCAAGGGTCAATATTATATTCTACACCATTTATACAAGCAGAGTTCACTAATCTATCTGCCTTGTCATTACCCAATATTTGGTCTATGTGCTGGAATCCACTGCACTCTTGCACATGTCGCATAGACTGAATTGATATATTATTTGGGAAAGTATGCAATAGGCTTTCGAAACACCTACGATTCCAGAGGCAGATCGAGCCAAATGTTGGATAGCAGTTTTCCTGTCCGAGTATATAATAATTTAGTTACAGTTATAGCTTGCAGCATACTTTAGGGCTTCGGATATTGCAATGAGTTCAAGGGTCATAATACAAATGTCATTAGTAACTTTATAAGATTTAGAAACTGCTTGATATGGGTCGAAGAAAGCTGCCCCTTGCAACTTTAGCACTCTTTGATCCGTCTGTGTAGATTTTGTGCCAATCGTGATATTTATTTTCAAGTTCTTCAATAACATTTACTTTAACGGAATTTATTCCTACCCCTATCCTATCCAATCCTATCCTTTGGTTATTGATAAGACAGTGCTTTACTATCTATGGCTTTCTAACCACTGACCATCAGGTGGGGTTGTAGTAGTTGTCGCAGTCAAGCTATACACTGACATACCTATAATAGTGGCACTTCACATGGCTATTTGGTATTTGTGATAGCATGTTGCCGTATTTGGCAAAAAAATTGACGTAAGGGCAAATAAACGATATAACCGTCCACACATGGAGCCAAATACCAAAAAATGAAACATGTTTGCCAGCGTAAAGTAGTTGTACCTATAAAATGGACGTTGCACTTTCAGCTGGATTTTATTATTTGAACGCATGTTACTATTACATGTTATGCGTAAAAAAAATACAAAGTGATAAAAAAAAGACCAAGAGCAAGGCGATGGTGGATGCTGACTGTGCATAAAAATCGAACCAAGTAAGTAATTTGTTTATTTCATTTGTAGAATGACTTTTGCATGACACGCAAATCATATTAACGAAAATTCCAATAAAATAAGAACCTAAATCTAATTAGTATATACAGAATAGAATAGAATAATTTTTTATTCAATATAGATCACATGTGTAATTCTTATTGAAAGTATTTTTTTACTTTACCACTGGTTGGAAAAAAAACCCTCTGTCCTGAGAAGAACTAGCAAGAAATCCAGCAGGATTTTTTTAAAATAAATTTTACAATATAAATGGTTACAAACTATTTACAATTTATTTTAGAAACAGATTGCAAGCGACTACCTCGTTCCCAGGGTTTATTATCAACCATGTATTCATTTATATTAGCCCTTTTTATAGAGTTTTTCATTAATTAAATATTTAAACTTGGTAATAGCTATGGAGTGTAGAGTAGACACTCCATAGTAATAGCGTATACATTGCCCCAAGAACGGGTTACTGACTTTATGGACTCGAGATATAGGTCACTAGCTTGTGTTTGTTCCTAGTGTTTACAGAGTGTATATCACTTTTTACTAAAACTGTCTATGTTCTTGTGAACATACATAAAATTTTGGTAAATATACTGAGAGGCCAAAGTTAATATATTAATTTCTTTAAATTTATCTCTAAGAGACTCCTCGGTTTTAGGTTGTAAATACACAATAAAAGTTATTTATATTTCCAGGGAATCTATGGAGACAAGGTTTCAAGAAATGTTAGCAGAACCCTCTAACGAGTTTGATAATTTCTGCCGAATGTCTTATGCAGATTTTAATTTTTTGTTACAAAAAGTCCATCCCATAATTTCTAAAAAGGATACAAAATGGAGAGAAGCTATACCTGCAAAAGTTAGATTAGCGATTACTTTACGATTCCTTGCATCAGGAGACAGTTATAGAAGCCTTCACTATACCTTCAAGATATCAAGTCAAATAATCTCAAGAATTATAATGGAAGTGTGTGCTGCTTTATATCAGGTTCTAAAGGATCAAATCAAGGTAAACAACATATATAATTTTCATTAACTTTTATTAATCGTAATCAAATTATTTTTAAGTAGGTATTAAATATGCTATTAATTATTTTTCCCTCGAGGTATTTGCGATGGTGATGGTGTATACGACACCATTCTAGAAGTAGGATTCGGTAGATTCAAAGGAGTATCATTAGAGTATTCTGAGTATTCAACATGATATGCAGGAGAAGGAGCATCCATTTGCGGTGAAGATGACGTATACAAAACCTTTGTAGAATTTGGATAACTGTTAACACAATTAAGATATTCCACTTCTGTCGGAAATGCAACCTGTGGAGGAGATGCGATATTGCTTTGCGGTGGTGATGGTGTATACGATAACATTGTTGCATCAGAATTAGGTTGACTGGTAGCAGAATTCAGAGATGCCACATCTGTCGGATATGCAACCTTTGGCGAACTTGCAACCGCTGACGGAGATGCGATATTGATTTGGGGTGGTGATGGTGTGTATGATAGCATTGTTGCAGCAGAATTTGGGCGACTGGAAGAATAATTAGGCAAATTGAAGTTGTAGACGTGTTCATCGACAAATAGCTCATGTATTTTTGCCATCATGATGTCTCGGCGTTGTTCAGAAAGTTTTCGTAGCTTTCTAGCCACAAGTACCCCAAAGGTAGAGCATTCATCATCTTCATCCTTTAGCTGCAGCTGGGAATGTTGCTTCATAAAACTATATGCTTCATCCATTCGTTTTTTCGCTTCTATAAGTTCAGGTGGATTATTTTGTCTTCTTCTATGCAATATTGGTCTTGCTGTTGAACCCTGTTGTTCATTTGAATTTAATTCCTGTTGTTCTTGGCTTCTAATATTTTGATCTATAGGGCCCTGTTCTGTGTTTTGATCTTCATTAATCGTAAGTTCTTCATCCTGCAAGTATAAATAACATTAATATTTTTGTTACAGTTGCCCGTGGTAGAACAAGACTGGTTGGACATAGAAGGTGGCTTCCATCAACGTTTCCCGCACTGCATAGGTGCGATAGATGGAAAACATGTAGTGATACAGTCTCCAGTTAACAGTGGCTCAGAATATTACAACTACAAAAAAATCTTTTAGCATCGTTTTATTAGCTTTGGTTGATAGTAATTACTGCTTTATGTATGCCGACGTGGGATGTCAAGGGAGGATAAGTGATGGAGGCGTTTTGAAAAACTCCGTTCTGTGGAATAAAATAAACAATAATACGTTGGGGCTACCAGCACCAATTCCACTACAAAATGGAAATGGTGACTTGCCATATGTATTCTTAGGTGATGGAGCATTTGCCTTACATAACAATATCATGAAACCATATCCAGGGAATCATCGAGAAGGCACCAAAGAAAGAATTTTCAACAAGAAGCTTTCATCAGCCCGTGTTATCGTTGAAAATGTATTTGGTGTTATGTCTGCTATATTTAGAGTGCTACGTTCGCCTATGCTACTTGAACCTGAATCAGCTAGCCAAGTAGTCATGGCGTGTGTAGTTCTACACAACTTTTTGAGAAGAAGTAGACTGTCTAGAAATGTATATAATCCACCTGGTACATTCGACCTGAATGATGGAGACGACTTAATAATACCAGGGTCATGGAGGGCCGATATTCCCAACAACCCAGCACTGCGTGATATTCGTAACATTCCTAGAAGATCTCCAAGGAATCCAGTCGAAATCAGAAACGACTTTGCTAATTACTTTTATAATACATGAAACTGATTGATCTGTAAACTTACCTATCTGTTTATTATTTGAAAATAAAATAAAATTATTATTATAAAATTTATAGGTAGTTATATTTTTTTTATAGATAATAATAATAATAATGTCCTCCAGACCGAATTTCGGCCACGGCGGCCAGCCTCAACGGAGACTAGCCATCTGCGCAGGACAGGATTATAGTGCCCAAGTGTATGCGCAAGCACAGGAGCACTCTCTATTCCCTCACTCTCATAGCCCGATGGGACGGTAAACCGACACGACCGGAGAGAGATCGGGCGTAGGACCAACGACTTTACGTGCTTTCCGAGGCACGGGGGTGAAACACCGCCAACTTCCTGACTCCAGGCAGATACTGAGAATTTCTTGATGGAAAAACTCAATAAACTGATTTTTTGGCCCGACCCGGGATTCGAACCCGGGACCTCATGATCAGCAGTCGCACTACTACAACCACTAGACAAACTACTTTGGAAATGATTACAGTAATACATACAGTGGTATTTTACTTTGTGTTTTTATCATCATACAACCAGTTTAAAATATCTTTCTTACTAGCTTAGCTAGCTTAGCATGTAAAGGTAATATTATAAATGGACATATTATCCCTTATTCATCTTGGCTTTAATCATATTTATTTAATTAGTGTAGTGGTGTTTGTGATGTATATTCACTAATTAATTAACTATGTAAAAATAGTCTCCACACCATGTTTGTTTGTCTGCTGTGCACCATTTTTTGCCAGACCTACTAAAAAGATTTTCCATCAATCTTAAAGTACCTATAAACGCTGAATGAACCTACAACTTTGTTTTATACTAATTTTAAGCTATTCTATTCTATAATATGTACTATTCTAACTCATAATATCGGTGAATACTACTAGAAAATAGTTTTTAGTTTGTTTATAGGTTATTGTGATATTCATATTTTTATTTTTAATTTTTCAGTATTCCCGTTAGATGCGGTAAAACTAATATTAATTTTGTAATTTATAGATGATAAGGAATAAATTGACATGCATTTCATTAATTGTAGCTAAAATTTGTGGTGGGCCCATTCTATATACAAAAAGAAATTGTCTTCTATAAATGTATTATTACTTACCACAGTGTTTATGGTACTGTTGCAGGTATAAACAGAATTCAAAAAACTATCCATGAATGCAAATGCAAACCAACTTGGTTGATACACATCGGATGCACCTGATCCGGATCGTTCGCTTTTCTTTATTTTGGTTTTGTAACCTCGGTACGCAGACATAAGCGACTCCTTCTTTTTTTTAAATCTTGCAGGGTACATGGTACACCCAAATTGTCTTTAATTGTATTCCACGCGTCGTTTACTCTTTGCCGGTTTTTATGCCCCTCGTTTCCAGGGTCCCAAATGCATGGGTTCATTTGGTAAAGTTCTAAAAACCTTACAACGGTTTCTTTGTCCCAATTCATTTTCCGTATGTATCTAAATAATTACTTATTAAGGTTATAAACAGGTCCGTCCGTACTGGTTGACAGTTCGCGCGCTTATGAGCCCGACCATGTGTGGCCAGTATATTTGCGTATTTGCCTATTTGTCTCCTTTGATGTGCCTTAAAAAACCGACAGACGATCGGTAAGCCGTATTTGTTATTGGCTATATTTGCCAAATAGGCAAATACGGCAATAATTATGGCAAATATACTCTCCACACATGGAAGTTATTTGTCGAATACCCCAAATACGCAAATACAAATAGCCATGTGAAGTGCCACCATTATATATATTTTTTTTAATTACTGGCATCGTAGCATTTTTGCAAAAATCTAAAACAAATTGATAGCTTAATATGAGCTTTATCTCCTTTATCATCAAACCAAAACATGTTTATGGTTATATTTTCACTCTTAACATCCTCAGTCTTCGGAACCTATGACAGTTGTATTGTAATGTAGTTTAGGAGAACACTAGCATCTCATCAAACATTAAGAAACACAAGCAATCTGCCATGTTCAAGCTTTGTTCTTTCATTTGCCTAAATATAATTAAGTTTATACCTGGTTTAATTAGTATTTATTTAAGGACATTTTTAATGTCCGTCTTGAGGACAAAGTGAACAATTTCCTTAAAAATATATATATCTTGTAAGGCTTTTTTCTTTTTATTGTAATTGCTAAACAATTTGTCTTCAAAGTTTTATCATCTTCCACGACATTTATGTTTTACTTGTACTAACTGCATATTCAGGAATTCGTGGGTGTAGAATAAAACTTTGGCTATTTTTGACTATCAAAATTCCCCAATTTATTAGATTGATAATAATTTCGCAAATAGTTTATAAAGTTGTATAATGCATGAGTATGTTATAATATATAAAATGCTCGTTTTGTAATAAAAAAAATATAATGATTACACATGTAAAACAATGGTAAAGTGGGCATAAGAAAGTCACTTTTGTAAATTATTTGTATTTTTTAAAATTGTGGTTATTATACACATTTAAAAAGATTTGTTATGTTACTAAAGTATGATAACATTATCAAGTTCACATTTTAAAGATTAATAATGCTGCTCCAAAATGTATCTTTTTTATTAAATTAATTAATTTTAAATACTAATTCATAAAATTATGGAAGAGGAGCAAACCTTTGGAGAGGATTCAATTACCAATGTGCTCTTAAATGGGAAGGAGTTGAGTCTTGTGGATGATACCACTGTTTCCCTGTATTAATATTGGGGTCATGTGACTGATATTGAAGCCATATTTTGATTATAAAAGAGAGCCGCACGGTCAATTTTTATCTTAAATTTTAAGGAGCCTTTTAAAAAATTTAAAGAAATAAACACATTAACTTTGGCATAGCAATATATTTATGAAAATGTAATATAATATGTACGTACATAAAAACATAAATAGCTTTCATAAGAATAAAGAAAACACCAGGAACAAACATAAACTTGTAATACCAATTACTAGAATCCACTGAGTCAGTAGTGCTGTTATGGGACAATGTATTACACGCTTTTACAACAAAATTTCAGAAAAGTACAAATTTTGTCAATTAACAAGTTGAAATGTTTTATTAAAGGAAAAATGTACAAAACTGTTATAAATAGCTTTCATAAGAATAAAGATGTTCAAACTTTAAACACTAGGAACAAAAATAGGCTTGTAATACCAGTTACTAGAATCCACTGAGTCAATAGTGCTTTTATGGGGGCAATGTATTATAGGCTTTTACAATAAAATTGCAGAAAATTTACAAAATTTGTCAATTAACAAGTTGAAATGTTTTATTAAAGGAAAAATGTACAAAAAGTGTTATAAATAGCTTTCATAAGAATAAAGATGTTCAAACTTTAAACACTAGGAACAAACATAAGCTTGTAATACTAGTTAATAGAATCCACTGAGTCAGTAGTGCTTTATAGGGCAATGTATTATACGCTTTTACAACAAAATTGCAGAAAATGTACAAAAATTGTCAATTAACAACTTGAAATGTTTTATTAAAGGAAAAATGTACAAAAAGTGATAGCTTTCATAAGAATAAAGATGTTCAAACTTTAAACACTAGGAACAAAAATAGGCTTGTAATACCAGTTACTAGAATCCACTGAGTCAGTAGTGCTTTTATGGGGTCAATGTGTTATACGCTTTTACAACAAAATTGCAGAAAATGTACAAAATTTGTCAATTAACAACTTGAAATGTTTTATGAAAGGAAAAATGTACAAAAAGTGTTATTATAATATCAAAGAATACATAAAATAACTCCTGGGTATGAGGTGATCGCAATCATGCTTGTATGTACTATTAAAATTTATTTAAAAAATGATATTGTAAAGTGAAATATGTTTAAAAAAAAGTCACGCTGGGTTTCTTGTTGGTTCTTCCCAGGACAGTGGTATCGGTGGTAAATAAAACACGATTTCCAATAAGTATTATGTAATAATCTATATTTAATTAAAAAAAATGTTCTATTCTCTGTAATATAAGATATTTACTAACTAGTAGGGACATTGTATAAAGAAATCAATTGATATTGTGCAAATACTGTTAAATTTAACACATCTAATGTTATTCAATAACTAAGCAAAGAATTTTTAAACAATAAACGTTTTAAAAATAACCTGTTTTTTATTTTTTGGTATAGGAACTTACAATTACCACGAGAAACATAAACAACTATTAA